TATCCAGTCTCCAGTTGATGGGCACTTGGGCTGTTTCCAAGCTTTAGCTATTACAAACTGTGCCGCTATAAACATGGGTGAGCATATATCGCTGTATCTCTGTGGTATGATTTTTAAAATTCTTTTGGGAAGATCCCCAGCAGGGGAATAACTGGGTTAAATGGGACCTCTAGTCCTAGTTCTTTGCGGTATCTCCATATTGATTTCCATAAGTGGCTGCACCAGTCTACACTCCCACCAACAGTGAAAAAGGGTTCCTTTCTCCCCACAGCCCTGCCAGCATTTGTTTTTGGTTGATTTCTTGATAGTACCCATTCTTTCTGGGGTGAGGTGTAATTTCAGCCTTATTTTCATCTGCATCTCTTGAATGACCAGTGATGTTGAACATTTTTTCGTATGTTTATTTGCCACTTTTACTTCTCTGGGTCTTTATATTTGGGGGAGGGGGGCTCTGATTTTTTTCAGTTCTTTATATATTCTAGATAGTAGACCTCTGTCTGAGGAGGCTTAATTTTTTTTAATGGTTTCCTGGTCATTTAATTTCTGGGGAATTCCGTATCAGTTAATTAATCATAGGTTGAACCCTAATCAGACTGTCAGACTGTTGAGATCTGGTTACTGTAATAGACCCTCTGATTGTTTAAAAAGTCATACATATACATTGTACTTCTTGGGGTTAGTTTATTACCATATAGCCTTGGTTGTCTTGACTTCCTCTTATTTCTGAAGGTAGGGCTGTACTGAAGTCAAATCTTGGTGATTTAGTGAGTTACAATGGGCTTTAGGGAATGACAGGATACAGGGAAGCTCAGTTGGGGGCATTTTAGAAAAATTTGGTGGCTTAAATCTTCTAAAAGTTTTCTAGGCTTTTTTGGTAATTTGAGACAAGTCTTATACTCTGTAGTTCAGGCTGCCCTTAAACCTTCTATATGGTCTAGGCTAAGCTTTGAATTTGTGATCCTCCTGACTCAGTCTCCTGAGTGCTGGGATTACAGATGCCTGCCAACATGTAGCTGCTTTCTAGATTCTCCTAGTAACTCCATTGTAACAGTGTAATCTCATTCTTTCTGATCATTGTCATTACTTTTACTTGGAAACCTGAAGAAATTTGTTAAGTCACATGTTACTGTGGTCTAAAACGCGAGGAATGCATTTCTGAGTAGATGCTCAGTTCTTAAGTGCCCTGATATAAGTGGTAAGAAATTCTTTTGGGGGCTGAGGATTTAGCTCAGTGGTTCCGCCGCCTGCCTTGAAAGTGGAAGGACCCAAGTTCGATCCCTGGTACCAAAAAAAAAAAAATTCTTTTGGCAGGGTTCCTGAGTCCCTGACTTATTCTTTGCTCTAACTGAAGATTTGAGGTTCAAATTTATTATTCACTTATTTTACATTATCTGGTAACTTTAGAAAAAGCTGTCTTACATAGGGTTTGGCATTCCTCCTTCCTGTCGATTGGCCTGTGGAAGCAGCTGTCTGGTCCCCTGGCGTTTCCTTGCAGTGAGCAGGACCCTGGGTGACTAGTAGTGGTAACTTGAGTAATCTGATACCATACATAGTATGGACCCAGTACATACCTAGAATATGGACAAGAGTCTTACTGCTTTGTACCCCAGCTTAGCTCAAGAACCAATTCCAAATACCCTTGCAGGACTTGGTACCTGCAGTTTATTCTCTGGTGCTCATTTCTACATCAGTTACTCCTTCACCCCATTTTTTGCATCTAGTGACAGAGATAAATGATCAATTTACATAAAGAGGAGATTGGCATGAGAGTGAGGTAGTGTCCACAAATGCCTACACAGTTGAACTGGCCCCACCTTAGTGGGGCTTCAGCCTGAAATTCAGGTGTTGGCAGAGCCACACTGCCTCTGAAGCCTCCAGGGTTTTTTCTGCCTCTTGTAGCTCCTGGTAGTCGCAGGCCCTCTTTGGCTTGTAGATGCATCGCTGCTGTCCCTGCACTTTGTCATGTGGACCTCTTCAACCTGGGTGTCTCTGTCTTAACATGGCACCTACCTGCGTCCCAGTTTTCTTTTCTTGTAGGACCTGACTAGAGTGTTATCACATGCCTAGTTGATTGTGTCCTCATTTTATCTTGTTTATATCTGAGGACCTTGTTTCCAAATAGGATCATATTCATAAATACTGGGAGTTAGGACATCAACATATTATTTTGGTTTTTTTTTTTTTTTAGTTTAATATCAAAGAAATTTTTTTCTTACATCTTTTTTTAACAAAATCTCTCTACAGACAAAATAATTGTGGGCAGTTTTATGGGATACCTTAGAATTTTCAACCCTCGTCCTGTAAAAACTGGTGATGGAGCTCAGGCTGAAGATCTGCTTCTAGAAGTGCATCTACGAGACCCAATTCTTCAAGTGGAAGTAGGAAAGTTTGTTTCGTAAGTACAGCCCACTAATCCTGGCATTGCATGTGCAGAGTGTCAGTGCCTTACTGTGTCACTTCTGTGGATTGTTCAAAGAAGAATTATATGTATTTGGAGATTGTCATGCAGGTGTCCCTCATGTACTGAGTGCTTTTTTATGTGGAAACTTCTACATTTATGATAGAATCATTTAGAGGCATTTTATAGTAACAAACCGAAGATACCTGACATGCTAGAGTCTTAAAGGAAAATTGCTAATTTCTAAAACTAAAAGAAATAGAATGCATTTACTTAAAGAGCAAATTGCCCAATTCATGTGTCTATTTAAGTAATTAGCCATAATGTCAGATGATTGTTACATTTTGGCTTATAACTTCGAAGTTTTAAAATGAATTATTGTATAGAGTCCTATCTTAAAGAAAGTCAGTTTAACCCACAAAATAAATCCTCTCCATACAAGAAATTTGTTTTAAAGTACTTCATTTTTAAACCTAATTTATTTTAGAAAATTATTAGTTTACACCGTAATATGTCTACTTTTTATTTCCTGATGATATTGCTGATTTTATTTTATTTTCATACATGAATTACATGAATTGTCTTAAAATTAAGCCTGTATTTCTTAATCTTTTAAAGGTATTGTGAAAAGTTATCAGGTAGTCAAAGTTGGTTTGTTTACCTCTGTTTTTGAGTGCCCTGTGTCCTCCTAAATCCGTTTAGTGCCCTGAATTCTGAACTTGGCTCACTCCATTTGCTCATCATAATTGACTGGCCCCAAGTACCATTTGTTCAGGGGTCTGACTTCTGTTTGGAAAGCATCCAAGTCCTCCAGCACATTCTCTGTCCTCTAGTGACAGCTTTATCTTGCTGGGAAGTTACAGTGTGGATGCCTTAGCCGGGGCATGAGGTGAGACTTTCATATGTAGGGGGAGGCTGGACTGGGGAGCTGTGCGATGTATAAGGCTGGTTATCTCTACTCCATCTAATAGCAGCTGATGACTGGGTGCTGTGAGTCAGTGGTCTCACCCTGTGACAGAGTACCTGAGTATAACTTAAATGAGACAGGTTGCAGAGTTTTCAGTCCATGGTGGGCAGGCTCCATTACTTTTGGGCCCAAGGGGCTGGAGATTTAGCTCAGTGGTTCTGGCACCTGCCTTGAAAGTGCAAGGTCCCAAGTTTGATCCCCAGTACCAAAAAAAGAAAAAAGGATGGGTGTGGCAGCGCAGCATATGCCTATAATCCCAGCACTTGGGAGACTGAGGCAGGAGGGTTGCTGTGAGTTCTAGGCCAGCCTGGACTACAAAGGGAGACCCTGCCTCAAAAAAAAAAAGAAAAGATAATAACTTTTGGGCCTGTGGTGAGGCAGAATCATGGTGGAGGAAGCTTCTTATATCATGGCAGCTAGGAAGCAGAGACTGTGAGAAGCTGGAGAGGAAGGGGCCAGGGACCAGATGTGGTTCTCAAGCTTGTGCTACTGGACATGTGCCCTTCAGCTCAGCCTCCTCCTGAGTTCCCCTCAGCCTCCTCCTGAGTTCCCCTCAGTTCTTGTCAGTGCCATCAGATTATGACCCCCTTTGTAAGTCAGCTCACTGGAGGGTAGAGCTCTATCATCCAGTCACCTCCCAAGCCCCAGTTCTTGTTTTTAAATTTTTATGAGTCTGTGTTTTTAGTACGTAATGATAACACTCATTGTGGGGAGTTGGTCCATGCACATAACATATCTTAATTCTTTCTACATCCCCTTTCCCACCGGTCCCTCTCCCTCCATCTCTAGATCCTCTTCTCATTTGCAAAAGATCTCCATTTTTCTTTTTTTTTTTTTTTTTTCATTTTGCCCTTTAATTTACTTATATTTTGGGTTTCTCATATAAGAGAAACCATACAATATTTAAGTGTGAGACTCTAATTTATTTACTTAACCTTATGGTCTCAAGGTACATCCATTTTCCTACACATGACTCAGCTTTATCTTTATTTATGGCAGAGTAGTACTCCATTTTTTGTAAATACCACATTTTAAAAAATCCATTCATCTGTTGATGAACTGTTTCAGAAGCCTCATCTTCTGGGGGACATTTTAGAGCCAAACCAGAACATGGCACATAATAGGTATTATAGACTTACAAAGTAAGGAAAGAAAAGGATTCTCACCTCTAAAAACCATTTTTACCTTTCTCTTTTTTTTTTTTTTTTAAAGTGAAATACAGTCAGCATTCTGTAAGGTGGTGTTTACATGCAGTTCTCATCTTTGGAATCACTCATAGGAAGGGGAAGAAGTTAAAGAGTGGATGTTCTTGTTGGCTGGTATAAATGTTGTCTTAAAAATCTTATCTGCAAGGCCAGTGTGGTCAGTACTAGGGGATAGAGAAGCTGGAGCTCAAGTGTAAGGTCACACAGCCAAGTCTCAGACCCATCACCCATTCCATATTCACTCTCTTTCCATAACATCATGCTGTTTTCTTGAACATAAGGGAGAGTTGTTTTGCCTGTCCAGGTGTATAAAAACTTTTCTGAAGGTATTATCAAGTATATGATAGTTGTGTATAGTTGCATTTTCTGGTAGTAGGGCAAATGATCAGTATTTACATACGCATCATATGAATAGTGTTTTACAGGTATGATCTAGTACAGTTCTAATTTTGTACATGAGATGGTAATACTCTGAAACATTAAACGTGTTTAGTGAGGTGCGCTGAGTCAACCCCGATCTAGGTCTTCAGACTTGAATTACAGTCCTTGTAGTTTAGACAGAGCCTGTACAGAGATCGCACACTGGAGGCCTGCTTCACACGTAGATTCACAGTGCTTTAAATTGAAAGAGCTGCCAGCATCTAAGTACTGGAGGTTTTGCATAAAATCCCTGCTTTCTGGCTGCTTTTTGATTAGTGTCGAGATCTGGTCACAAGTCCAAAACCAAGTAAGCCACCTTCTGAAGTCTGGCCTGGCCACCAGTTAACCGCAGCCATTCCCACTCTGTAGCCATTAACACCCATCAGCTCGACTCTTGACCGTGAGTGTAGGGGTTTGTAGCCGATACCCTGTTTTTGTCTGGAAACCACTTGACATGGACTGGGAAGTGTAGTGGGAAGAACATTGAGATTTTACTGAATAGTCTCAATACTTTAATAACATTTCAGACCTAGAAGCGACACATGCCTTTTCCTGATAATGATGAGCATTTATAGTGCTTCAGGCTTTATGAGGTGCTTACATGATTGTGTTTGATTTAATTGAAACCTTATTTTCAACAGGCTCAGGGAGGTTCAGTGACTTACCCAGAGTGATAGGTGAATTACAGAGGCAGGACCATCCTGGGAGCTTCCTACTGTGGGACAGTCCTCAGGCTCACTCTGTCTTGGAGGCTCCCTTGTTTCAAGATGAAGGCAGAGTATTTTCTTCCTTCCCCTGTCCCTTCTTCCCTCCCTCTTGCCCTTCTTTCTTTCCTTGCCTTACATTCCTTGCTTGACAGGGTGACTCTCATTGAGTTTTCCAGGCTGGCCTCCAACTTGGAATCCTGCTGTCCCACCTTCCTGAGTAGCTGGGGTTACAAGCAAGTGCCACCATGCCTGACAAGACAGAGTATTGAGCTTGAGGGATTGTCTGTTTGTTGTTAACTTTGTTTTTCAGCTTAGAATATTATCAGGTGTTTTGTTTACTTACAGTGGTTGTAGTTGTGAGATCTTCTTGAAATTATTTTGTAACTCTTTGGTTATATCTGAAACTAATATTTAAAACCTTTGAAAACTTTCTCTATTTTTCAGAGGAACTGAAATGCTTCATTTGGCTGTGTTGCATTCTAGAAAACTTTGTGTCTACTTTGTCTCAGGTAAGAACCATTTTCCTTCCTAATGTGGAATTTATATTACAAACTGGGCTTCTTTTTTTTTTTTTTTTTTTGGTACTGGGGATTGAACTCAGGTCCTTGTGCTTGCGCAGCAGGCGGCAAAACCACTGAGCTAAATCCCCAGCCCTGGGCTTCTTAATATAAAGTAGATATTCCCTAGTCCTGACTTGTTAAAGAATACAAAATAGTCTTTGATCAGTTTTCTTGTCTTTGTTAGTATTTTCCCATCATTCATTATTTTTTCAGATTGTATTTTCTTGTCTCCTGTTTCTTTCTGTACATTTTTTGGCCGGGGTGGGGGGTACCGGGGATCGAACTCGGGTCCTTGAACTTGCATCTTTCTGTACTTTTATTTCTAGCAGGTGGTTCCTTCTGTTCCTTTCCTCTCTGGAATTGTGTCCAGGATTGCCTAGGACTAGTAAAGGCCTTTTCTATGGACATAGGACCCCTCAGTCTTGCAAAATGTTCAGTAATAACAGCAGAATTCATTAGATGCTGAGTCACAGTGGCTGAGATGCATTTTCTTGGTAAACCTCAGGTGTTTTCTCTTTATGGTTCCAATTTCTTGGTTGTGGATTGTCTTCGCTTACCTAGATTGCAGGGCACTTAGGAGGCTTAAGGAGGTTTCATTCTCTGACATGCTTCTGTGGGGCAGCATTTGAGTTCAGCATTTTGAAACTTACTGAAATTAAAAGATAATTTTAACTTTTTAATATCAGTTATTGATATGTTTTAGTTCAGATGAGAGTTATTTCAGTGTGTTGCTGGGTGGCAGTGTGTCTAGTGATTCCAGACTTTTTCCCACCCAAAGAATTGGCCTGGACAGCCACTAAACAGGTAAACACAGCTTTTATTTAAAGTAAAGGAAGAAAAGGGAAAAAGAGAAGAAAAGAGAAGAAAGGAAGGAAGGAGTGAAGAGAAGAGTGAGAAGAGATCTATCCCACAAACAGGACGGGCCACTGCAGAAATAGGCCAGCAGGACAACAAGACTGAGTGGCAGAGAAGTCAGTGGCCACTATCTTCTACATCTTTCCAGATCTGGTCCACTGGAAGTTGCACCGTCCATGCATCCTGGCTGTGGTTGACAGGTCGCATCTTGTTGATCAGCCTCTGTTCTGGCTCAGGTTACATCCTGTACTGTTTGCAGCCAGCCTGTCGTGCCCTAATCTTCTGCCTCATATGGGTGTCAATTTGGGGGACTTTTATTATGGCTATGATAAAGCTAAGTTTCCGCAGGGCTACTCCATGTACAAAAGTCCTTTTGCTTTCTTTGGGGATTTTCTGTAAGTGTTAGTTTCTAGGATTTGGATTGGTTTGTCTTATTCTCCTGATTTGGGCCTTCTTTGTAATTTCTCTTCGAGTGGTAATTTGTATGTGTCATCACTAAGCCAGCTTAGTGTTGTTCTCAGGCAATCTCTGCTGTGAAAAGCTGCAGGCCTGGTGGCCAGGCATATGATGTAGTGTAGACATCTGGAACATGCTCGTTGAATGGATGAGTGACACATTTCTAGATGGTGCTGAGACAGTGGGCGGTGTCTCTGTATCCTCTTTACCTCATGTGTGCTGTTTCCTTCCCCTTCTCATTGCCACTGTCGCATTCTTTGCTACTCCATTTATGTCTGAGCCTGATGGAGTGCACTCTTGCTTGTTTCATGGCAAAAGATGCTGCTCCTCCTATTGGTAGAGCACACGTTTATATTCCAGAATAAATGAAGAAGGTAATGTACTGGTCACTTTATTCATCCATCTAGATCTTCCGTTTTTGATCATAAGCATAGCTTATCAATTAATAATAAATGCTAGTGATCCATTTTCTACAGATGACTTATTTGTCTTTATTTATTTCAGAGTAGTACTCTGTTTTGTGTAAATATATTTTCTTTATCCGTTCATCTGTTAATGGACATATAGGCTGCTTCCAAGATTTAGCTATTATGAATTATGCTGCTATAAACATGGGTATACATGTACCCCTGTAATATGATATCTTTGACTCTTTTAGGAAGGTACCTAGAAGAGAAATAGCTGGGTCAAATGGAATTTCTGGTTCTCATTTTTTGAGGACTCTCCATAATGGCTGTACTAATTTACATTTCCACCAACCGTGTAGAAAGATTCTTTTTCCCTACAGCATCACTAGCATTTATTATTTGAGTTCTTTGATGATGGCCATTCTTTCTGTGGTAAGATACTGTCTCAGTATTGTTTTAATTTACATTTTTCTAATGGCCAGCGATGTTGACCATTTCTTTATGTATTTATTGGCCATTTGTACTTCTACTGTGAAGTATCTATTCATTTCACTTGTCCATTTTTCAATTGGATCTTTAATTTGAGGGGGATCCAATATTTTTGAGTTCTTTATATATTCTAGCTATGAAACTTCTGTCTGAGGAATAGCTGGAAAATTTTTTTTCCACACTGTAGGTTGTCTTTTCATTCTGTTGGTTGTTTATTTTGCTGTGCAGAAGTTTTTAAATTTGATATGATCCCATTTGTTGATTCTCGGTATTATATCTTGTGTCATAGGGGTTCTGTTGAGAAAGTCCTTGTCTACACTTACAACTTTTTTACTTATTTTATTTTCCAGCAGCTTAAGGGTTTCTGATTTAATGTTTTAGTTCTTTGCTCCATTTTGATTTTAGTTTAGTACATGGTGAGAGATATGGGTCTACACTCAATCTTCTGCATGTGGATATCCAGTTTTCCCAGCACTATTTATTGAAGAGGCTATCTTTCCTCCAGTGTATGCTTTTGGCCTCTTTGTGAAAGGTCAAATGGCTGAGGGTGCTTGGTGTTATTTCTGTATCCTCTATTCTGTTCCATTGACTCTCATGTCTGTTTTGTGCTAGTACCATGCTATTTTTATTGTAGTAGCTTTGTAATATAATTTCAAGTCTGGGATTGTGATGCCTCCTGCCTTGCTTTTGTTACTTTTTGTTATTCTGTGTCTCTTCTGGTTTCATACGAATTGTAGGATTGCATTCTTGAGTTCTGTGAAGAATGCTGTTGGTATTTTGATTGAAATTGTGTTAAATCTTTATATTATTCTGGAAATATGGCCATTTTGAGTATATTGGTTCTGCCTATCCATAAACAAGCAGCATATTTCCATTTTTTTGAGGCAGGGTCCCTCTATATATTCCAGGCAGGTTTTGAACTCACTGTGTAACCCAGTGTGGCTTCAAAGTCATGGTGTTCCTCCTGCTTCAGCCACCAGAGTGCTGGAATTACAGACATGCACCACCACACCTGGCGGTTTTAAAGTGCTTTTACGCAAAATTTTAAAATTTATCCATGTGTTTGGAGTTTTTACAGAATACAAATTCTAGTGTCATTTCATTCCAAGTCTGTTTAAATATTGACTGTTGAAGCTGGGTGTGGTGGTGCACCCCTGTGGTCTTAGTACTCTGGGAGGTTGAGGCAGGAGGATTGCAAGTTTGATCCCACCCTGGGCAGGTTAGTGACTTAGGACTGGGGATATAGCTTAGTGTGAACACCTTGAGTTCAATCTCCAGGACCAGAAGAAAGTCAGCCCTTTAATCCTGTGACTTTTTAATGTTCCTACCTGCTTTTCATCTTTCCTAATTCAGAGGGGCTGGTTTGATTGTGTGCAGTAGGAAATTTGTAGTTTCTGTAGAGATAAACAAGGGGTCTCTTAGAGATTCTGTTTCTTGGTTATTGGCATATAGAACTGTCTTTAGAGTAATGTGGTATTATTAAGAGCTAGGTTCCCCCCATGTCTGCTGTAATCACAACTGGTGATTACCCCAGCTTTTTGATAGCTCACTGATTTTACTATCATTTAAATTCTAGAAAGCCTGCATCTCCTGTCAGGTTAGCTGGCAAATTTGTCATTTTGTTTCATGTTACATTGGTATGTGAAATCTATTGTTAGCATTTTCAGGGGCACAGAACTGCCAAATGCTTCTCCAAACAGTCCTCCCTGTTAATTTTTCCATTTTGAACTGTCAAAAGAAAACTTTAGACAGATTAAGTTCAGCAGGTCACTTAAGAAAAGAATGCTTTGGGAACTGGGCCATTTTCAAAAGCAGAAGTTGAGAGAACCTCTGTGCAGTGTGAACAGACAGTGTTTGTGGGCATAGAAGTGGAGGCCAGAACAGCTTGGGCACAGCTCAGCATCTGCCTTGTGTAAGCATGGTCTGGTCAGCTGCCCTCTGTGAGTGGCTGAAACCTGGCTACTGTGAGTGGTGGAGGCTACTCTTAAATAGAACTATCAGTTTGTTTATCTATTAGGTTAGTTTTTGCTTTATTTCATAGGAACTCAAGATATGGAGATATCTTCAGGCCAGATTTAGTTTTTACTGAACAAGCCCCATCCCCAGCACTATTCTGTAGGTCTAAGTACTCTCAAAAGCCTATCACCAGAGAGTAAATACAAGTTAAGAATCTTTTGTCTTTTGGAAAGAACTAGAAAGTCATTGTAGCAAGATGACCTATTAAATACAGAGAACTTTTTGTTTTAAAGGAGATTCTTCATGGCTGACTAAAACATGTTGTCCTTCTTACTTGCTGAGGAAAGCTTATGAGATCTCTTTCTTAAATTAGGATATACTATATTAGGGGATTGGCTATTTTGAGAGTTGGAGCAGGAAAATTAATTGCCTTGAAGTGCTGGGATTTTTTTCTTGGACACTTTGAGTCATGTCTTTGTTGTTATTGTTTATAACACAAGGAACTTAACCTGATTTATTTCAAAATGAAGAAAAATTGTTTGTTATTATTTAAGTAATTACACTTTACTCAGGTGTATCTAACAAAAGTAGATACTAAAGTATTCCCTGGGGTAGTATTTCATCTAAAGGTGTCATCTAGCTGAGATTAAATGGTTTTAGCCAGTTTGGCTTTGTGTGTTTTCAGTATGCTAATTGTGCATAATGTTTTAGGGCTTTATTTAAATTTCACTAGAATTGAATTACTTAGAATTGATACGGAAGATGAGAAGTTAATGTTCTTACAATATAAAGACATACAAAGTAATCCTTTCATTTTTTCTCCTTAGGAACCTTGGGTAATGTGGAACATGGGAACCAGTATCAGATCAAATTGATGTACGAACATCATCTTCAGAGAACAGCCTGCAATATGACCTATGGGCCTTTTGGCGGTGTGAAAGGTAATCTCAAGGGTGCTGTTTCAGGTGACAGATTTAGAAGATTTGGTCATTTTAAAATGGAGGGTTCTGTGGTTTGAATCTTAGGGAATTAAAATATTTCATTGAAAATTTTGTATCTAATCAGAAGAATAAAAAGGAAACTATGTACAGTAGGTGCATTTGATTTCATCTAAGCAGCTGTCCTAAATGGCCAGCAGAGCACTTCTCAAGCCTTTTCTGTAGCTCGCATCTTTCCAAAGTCACTTGGCTGAAGCTGAGCATTCAGTGGTGCAGCTGTCTGCCCCAGCACAGGGCTGGCCTTCTCTTAGATGTGCTGTCCCTGCTTTACCTGCCCCAGGCCTGGCTACCTCCCAGCCCTTCTCTCCATCCTGCCTGTCTCCAAGGCCACTGCCAAGGTTCTTGAGGGCTGTTTCTGAAGGAAATTGAGCAGAAACAGGAGCATCTGAGGCAAGACTTTATTGGGGGAAAGAGCTTCTGGGCTGCTTTGAACAATGGCAAGAGAAAGCGAGAGACTAACTGGGTGAGGTTTATAAAGAGCTGTGTGATGGGAGAGCATCGTGGGGCTGAGGATTGGTTGTACTGCTGGGGCGGGTGATGGAGTTTGGTTGTACTGCTGGGGC